GAGCATGGTCAACTTTGTATTCTGTGTTGTAACTGAAATCAATATATTTTAAAATGTAGAAAAACATCCAAAATATTTAATACATTTAAATTGGTATTCTATTGTTTAATAGTGTGAGTAAAACTGCAATTAATCACGACTAATTTTTTTGAGTTAATTGCGTGAGTTAACTGCGATTGACAGCCTTAACTCAAATCCTTTAATTATTCATTACTGTATTTAACACATCCCCAACCTTATTGCAGGCTGTTCCAAGTTGTGGGGAGGGCAGAGTAATGAAGTCTGCACTTTTATGGGGAATTTTTAGCTGCAGGAGATACTAAAAGTGCAGGTAGTGGCTTTGGCTGTTAAAGATAAACACAGAACGCAAGCAATCTCCCATATGGCCTTTTGAGCATTTACAAAATACATTGTATGGAAATTACGTAAGTGTTGTGTCCAAAAATGGTCTTGGAATGAAAACATTTAAGTCTCATTCTGTTTGTAAGTTTTAGCAAAGTTTTGAAACAACAAACAAATCCAATTGGTTCTCTGAGTAGGTGAGCATGGTAATGTTTTGTCTGCACACACCAACCTAAAGCTAACTGCTAGTGAATGTGTCCTAGGTGCAGGTTCTAAACATATATCCAGCAGGCAAAAAACCTATTGATTCTTTATTCATATTCAAGAAAAACTAGCAACTGAAAATTCCAAAATATTTCAACCAAAATAGTTCCACAAAAATTTTGCTTTGGTCAAATGAAATGTTTTGTTCAACCTGAGCTAGATTCACAAAACAGCCAACGGAAGAGGAGGGGGCAGCTCCCTTATAGCACTGAGCCCAGCAGTTATGGTGCTCACCTGGAATGTGAGGCACCCCAGTTCTATTTCCCCCTCTGCCCGATGTGTAGGAGGGATTTGAACAGGGTCCCTCACCTCTCAGGGGAATGCTGTAACTACTGGCCATTGGGGTAGTCGGGGATGGGTGTCTCATTCTCTCCTGTTTAAGTTTTTAAAATCTGTATAAATTAGTCACTGGGGCAGGAGGGCTGGAACCTGGGTCTGCCACCTCCCATGTGACCAAAAGCACCCCTGTATTCACACCCAACATATTGTAATGGTCTTTGTGCAAAATATGAGTTATCATTTAAAAACTAACACCACAATGGTCATCAATACCCTTCTGTCATCAATATCCTTCTGTAACATATGAACAAAATGCAAATCAAGAGTTATGGATAAAGTGAAATTATGACTACACTGTGTTTACCAGACAAATCTGGGGGTGGGAGTAAACCCATTTCTCAAAGACAAATAACAGGCTGACATCTCTAGCCAGTTGTTATCAAAGTTGATGGCAATCACTGGTCAAGTAGCCATTCTTTGGCAGCAAAGGGGAGCAGGAACCAAACAATCTGCATTTTAGCAAACAATGTGGAACCTCTTTCACCATGAGTCTCCAGGTCTCCTTCCTCACAGCTGGAATGAACTTTATCTAGGGATAACCAGCAGGAAAATGGGTCTGGGAGTTTGTTGGGGTCACCCTGCAGGTAGTAACCAAAGCTGCTGGAAGCCAGCGTGTGACTAGTGTGTTGCTGACAGGTTGCTGGGGTCAGAGTTGGTGGACCAGGGCTGCAGCTATACAGACACTCAGGGTGTGACCTGCATACTGTTAGAATGTTTGGCTGTCTGTGAGTGGTCCTGGTTGGGAGCTACAACAGCAAAGCATTGTGAGGCACCCAAGATTGTAGGGCAGGCACAACCTCTCACTGGTCTGGATTGCCTGGGTCTTCCACCTCCCATGTCAATGGCCTGACCACTAGTCGACAGAGCCATTCTAATTCTCTTACTGGCCCAATGAATAATTAATTATTTATATAAGTGCAACAAGAGATTGAGACCTGCCCAGGATATCCCATAGCCCAGTGGCTAGGGCACTCTCCTGACAGTGGGAGACCCAAGTTCAAGTCCCTCCTCCACATCAGGCAGAGGGGAGAACTGAATGAGTGCCCTAACCGCTGGGCTAAAGGTTGAAGGGGAGATGGAGGCAACACATGCTCCCCACCCCATTTTGTGAAAGGTGCTGAAGTCGTGTCTCTGCCGTCCCCCGCAAAATATTGTTCAAAACCATGTGGCAAATTCACTAATAGTTTTGGGTCAACCAAAACTCCATTTTTGGGGCAAATAAACTATTTGCCTGACAATTTTTCCCCTCCTCTACACAGGACTATGCAAAGCAGTATATCGTTATAAGACTGCACAAAAAAGCTTGTACGAATGTACATATGGACAATTGATGCACTAAATTCTGAATGCCTTATGCAATTTTTACTCCTGCAGAGCATTTATTTATGGTAGTAAATATGATTTATGTGGTAAGTTAAATTTATGGGATTGATGAAGCAAAAATGTGGTAAAAAGTGATTAAAATGCTTCCCTCCCCCCTTGCAGATTTACAAAAGAAACCTGCAAACATTTCATACATGTGAGGAAGAAAAATGACATCAGAAAGGAAAGAAAGCAGAGCACCAAACACTAGCAAAATGAAGAGCTAATTCCTTTTCATTCTATGTAAGCATGTATGAAATTCAGAGAATCACAAACAAGCCTATGCTGACCACAGTAATGTAACAAGGAAATCATATGGAAAACAGATATTACTTTAAAAACTTATTTGTAAAGAATCATATATTATAAGAAATATTCATAAAAAGGTGCTTTAATTCTCTAAGGAATACAACATCCCATGAATAAAGGCCTTAAAATAATGATTACATGCGACATAGCAAATGTGTCCTCAGCTGAAAATTGGAATTGCTCTCCCACTAGTTTTCTACACCCTTTCTACCTATTTTTAGGCACAACAATTTCTGAGCATGCAAATAATTTATGCACACAAATTTGTGTTTCCTGAGAATGTACTGCAAATGCAAATTGTTTGCTTAACTTTACATACTAAATTAAGTCTGCAAGACAAGTCTGTGTTGATACGACTCTCATTGAGAAAACAAATTATATATATATATATATATATATAATAAAAATGCAACCTGAATGCAAATTAGTAGACACAAATCTGACCAAACAGCCTAGAACAGTTGAACTACCAAAGAATGTATGAGCTTCTTAATTTCCTACAGCAACCATTTCTACTACACACAATAAAAACTTAAAAACCTAAAATTAAATAGTTTTAAATTAAAAAAAAATATTTTTTTCTGCTCTCAGCCACATAACATATCAATATGTGGAATGTTAATTGAAAACACTTTCACTATTAACCTTGAAAATGTTCTCAACATTTTTGTTTGTATCATCTTACTATTAAGTTTGTGAATATGTGGACAAAAGCTTAAAGAGACTGTTGGGTTTGTTTAGGATTTAATATTAAAATAATCATTACAAAATCCAAGAATAGATATGTTTACAGTGAATATTTAGATAGAAATAAAAATAGTTTTTAGTTTGGAATGTTACATTCATTTGTAATATCACAACCCTAACATTGTAATAGTTGTGCTAACCCATTGGACCTAGAAAATGAAATAGATTAGCAACTCACTGTAGTAACAAACATGAAGCTATTTATTTTCACTGCCAAGCTGAGTGAAATACAAGTAGTCAGGAAAGAGTATGAATGGGTAAATATGTATTAAATCTGAAAGAATTTTTAAAATCTAGCAACCTAAAAGGTATTATTAGTAGAAAAAGGCAGGCACTCTTAAAATATATATTTTAACCTAATAAAACATCATACTGTTATAAACACTAACCTCTTTATATGCAGAGCATAGATATATTATGTTTACATTTGATAAGATTTATTATGGTCGTTTGTTATGTACCAATGTGAATCTTTTCATGATGAAGAGGACTTCAAATCTTCATCATGAAAAATTTCATGATGGTACACCGCTACCTCGATATAACGTGACCCGATAGAACACGAATTCGGATACAATGCGGTAAAGCAGTGCTCTGGAGGAGCGGGGCTGCACACTCCAATGGATCAAAGCAAGTTCAATATAATGCGGTTTCACCTATAACGCGGTAAGATTTTTTTGGCTCCCGAGGACAGCGTTATATCGAGGTAGAGTTGTATATGGCAAAGATGAATTAAAAACAAAACAAAACAACCCCTTCTCCCCCAAATCTCCACCATAGCTAATTCGAAGCCCAGTTGAAACAGGAGGAGGGTTGGTGTCAGATTGGTGGCTGACCATGAAAACTCACCATAAACTGACACTACGAGTCCTCAGATGAATCAAGAAAATGAAGGGGTATTCTAGAAACAACACACAGTGCTCCAAGTGCTGAGGATAGAGAAGCCAATGCAAGGAGAAGTGGTGGGATGTTATAGGAAGACACGTTAGCATGTGATGTGATAGAGACTGTGGTACTGAACAGAGCACCTTTTAGGGAGAGGACTCAGAGCAACTCCCCTTTTGATGGGGTTAACACAAGGAAGAAGATGGCAACTTCAAATGAAAGGCCAAATTCTCTCCACTATATCAAGAAAAACACAAAGGCTGAAGACAGAAGTTTTCTGCTCCAATTCTCACTCCTGTACAAACTCCCCCAGAGGTGCTGCTCCATGTGTTTTCTACAAGCAGGGGAACTGGCATTTTCCAGCTCAGGTCTTTGGGTCTATGTGTTTGTGTGCACAAACCCAGTAATCCAGCAAAACACAGACATGCTATTCCAAAATGCAGATACCTACATGTATCACAGTAATGAAATCAGCAGAGGACCACTGCAGTTAAAATATGGGCACACATTAATACTGCTTTGTAGCACGTATGCCTGTTTGGAGGGCATTTTTACAAGGAAGCAGAATTTGGCCCAAACTGGTCCCATCAAAAAATAGACTAATGATCGTAGTAGGTTTCCATTATAAATCATGCAAATAGATTATTTTCCAAGCAAGAACGTGTAAAATAGCTCCCAGGGTTAAGATATTTTCCTACATGATATGATATCTGTGACATATTTTCTGTAACTTAAATTAAACAAATCATTACCTGCTGGAATAAAGCAGAGTTCCATCACGTTGATATTGTTCATCTACATACAAAGAAGAAGAAGAAATAGTGGTTGCTAAGGAAGCTGCTTCAAATAGAGATGGAGTGCTTGGCACTAAATCCGGACGGTGCCGTGAGCCTAATACTGCATAGGAGAAAATACACGTTTTACTGTATATTCATTTTTAAAACTCATTTCTAATACAACTACCAGGGAAGTTATTGTTACTCCTGGGGAAATTCTGCACCCAAATAATTTAAAATCATGTGCATGATATTTTAAAATTCTGCATATTTTATTTGTCAAAATAACAATCACAACAGTTTCAATTATTTTGGTAATTTATTTCAAAATACCTGTCAGCAAGTATGTCTAACAGTACAGACAACAAAAAAGATTCAGGAAATGTTTTTTGAAAAATAGTTTCCTTACTAGGCATTTTAATACAGAACTTTAAGTAATAATTCATTTAAACTTCAATACAGAAATATTTCCTGCACCCCTCAGAAACAGTGCAAAGGCTTGGGGGAGTCAGGGGTAATGGAGGAGCTGAGGGAGAGCGAAGTAATTGCTGGGAAGAAGCCTGGGAGTGAACTTGGAAGGTTGTTGGGTGTGGGAAGTATGGAACAGTTTTTTTTTGGTGGGGTGCTGGGGGGGGGGGGGAGAAGGATTGTTAGTGAGTTGGGGAGCCTCCCCCATGCAGATCCTGGCTGACCCCCAGCCTCTCCCATTCAGTCAGACACATCTGCCCCTGCCCCCATGTGTCCAGCACCCCCACTCCCATTCAGTCCTGGCTCAGTGCTGTCCCTCCACTAGCTCCTGTGCTCACACCCCAGTCTGTCCCCCCCACTAGCCCTTCTGAACCCCAGTCTATGTGCCTCTCTCTGTCCATCCCCCCAATATCCTGTGCCTCCTCAACTGGCCCTGCAGGCAAGGCACTATGAGGAAGGCAGCCACTGCCCCTCCTTCGCCCCCTCCCCAGCTGGCTGCCCTCTCTTTTGGTGCCACAACAGCCCCTGGTGGGCAAAAGGTGTAATTGCAGCATCTGCCCAGCAGAATCTATTTTCTGCAAGGTGGCATGGAGGTCTGCAGGGGACATGAATTCTGCATGTGCACAGCAGCATAGAATTCCCCCAGGCTTATTATATTATATTCTATCAGTAGCTAAACAACACACATGCATACGGTATAACAATACTAATTTTCCAGAAGCAATCCAACACATTTAACAGAGGACATTAATAGTTAATGGGGTCTAGTCAGTGATGCAGACACACTTCCACACCCCTGTAAGCCTCTTTAAAACCCAAGAACATGCTTTTGCAGCTAGCCAAGACATTTATTATAATCTAGGTTCTCTATTTTGAACAACTGTGGCACTGATACCCAGGTTAGCCATTCCCAAATATTACCTTCTTCATCAAGGCTGGAAAAGCTCTGTCCTTCAGTAAGCATGTCATGCTTTTCATCCTTCCATTCTTGGCTAACAGCAGACACAATTTCTTGTGATGTTGCCTTTAGGGCTGCAATGGAACTGCATCGTCTCTTGGAAGGAGAGGACTTTAGAGCTGCATTAAGAAAAGAGTGCAATGAACAAAGCTGGTGAATTATAATGTTTTACTCATCTTTCACAGAGTGCATATAGTTTTACTAACTACAAACCCCTTTCTAATGCAGATCAAGAATAAATCTAGATAAAAACATTTTAACATATACCAGTTTTATTCTACAGAGTCCATATTAGACATTGTCTCTCAAAGTCTCAATTGAGTTTTTGTGGTCTTCGGGCAAAAAAGGCTACAAATGGGATCTGCCTGTTAATTGTTTTGACATTTCCTACACTGCAAGTCATAACTTGAGTATCTGCCTGTAAAAGTCAGAGAAAAAGAACAGAATGCAGGATAATGAAAGGAAGGAAGAAGAGAAACATTGATTGAGTAAGCAAAAAATAATCAAGGCTTTTGGCATTATCTGAGGATTAGGGACAACCTAAGATTGTTTATAGCCTGAGGACATAACTGCTATACCGTGAAAATATTTATCCTGCCTTATGATTTCCACTGTAGTTATGTACATCAATATATGTTTTGGATAAAACAAACATTTCCAAAATATTACTGACTGATATATTTGCTAATGATGTTATGCAGCTGATTCATGAACATTCCTGATAGTTTATAATGCTGAGCAGGACTTGCCTTGAATACACTGACATACTAGACAAACACAGGATCAGATCCTCTCCACTATTTCTCCCCAAAATTTGGTCCTTTGTCAATGCAATTTCCTCTCCTAAAAGGAGGTCAACCATTTCTGTTTGTGTGTTTAGTTCCCAAATGCATTAGAGCTCCTAGACACTGCCTGCAGCAACTCGCACAGAAAGAGTTCTGGAACAAGATAGATACCAGAAGAACCAACTGCATACAGCTAAAAAGCTGTGACACTCTTGGAATGAGGAATCAGATGCACAGAAACTCAGCACCAAAGACCCAGAGCTACTCCAGAACCCCTAGAGAGGATGCTATAGGCAATGGCTATGCTAACGCTGAACTGGCCTATGCCTAACACGGCCTTTTAAACAGACTAAAAATAGCGATCATCAGGGACCAGGTAAACTCTTGTTCTGTGCATTGAACACTGGGGTGTGACATTGTAAAAGCATATAGACAGATTTGTGGTTAAGGCGCTGAAATAAGACTGCTTTCCTACTATGTAAACAAGTTTTTCTTCCTACTGTGATCTCCCTGCATTGCAAAATGAACTATGGGACTCAAACCTCCATGGACCCACAATGGTGAGCAACAGAATTCAGTCCGTCCCATCTCATGACGGCTAACACATTTCCTTCCAAGGACCTTGACTGAAAAGGCCCCCTAATCTCCCATCCATTTCCCAAGCCATCCTCCCAAAATGAGCTACTGACATTGCTAGAGGTCCAAAGCACTATGTTCATACAAATAAATAATAATCACCGAAGTCTTCTAGGAGTCTTACTTCTTCACACAGGATGCCACAAGACCAAGTGCCAGAAAGAAGCTTCCTATAGATGGTGAGGTTGCTGCCTTTACAATGCTTACAGCCTCCGCTACCCTGAAAGCTCAGGGTTGAAACTGATCCTCATCTATAGGGAACTTTGCACTGCCATTAGGATTGCTGGGATGGCCAGTTGACAGCATTCCCAATGCACAATTATTTTAGAAAAGCTACCTGTCCTAATGGAAGCATATTAATAGCTTCTCAGGATTAGCTGGAAGCGAAAGAATAGCAGGGTAAGATCAGAGACCTTTACCATAGAACACAGCAGAACCTCTGATCAACTAGGGATCCAGCAAAGGGACCAGAGGATTGAAAGTTTTTAGAGACATTCTCAGAGGAAGCTAGCAGCCTTACAAAATTTGGCTAAATAGGACATTCTGAATTCTTTATTTTGCACAAAAATGAAAATGTCCTTAAAACCTTTAATCCATATACAAGTAGATACACAATCTTGTGTCAAGAACAAACCATGAAAAGAACCATCAGATACATCCGTTAGAACTTTAGATATGATTAGTTTTGAAAAGAAAGAAGATGGAAAATTATGATAACTAAGAAGAGCGAGCCCAAAAAGGGATAGAAGGCAAATACTCAGAGTCTTTCAACCTAGTCACCAACAATATACGGTCTTCCTGGGAATAAGACAGGAGCAGACTGAGAACAGACTGAAGTCTGAGAGTAGCCCAACTAGTAACCAACAAAAATGAATATTCCAAGCATAGTCACACTGTAGCCATAGGGAAAGGAAACAATACTGTTCCATGACAATGCCTTATCAGAACAGGCTCAAAGATTTACCATTAATTTGATCACTGTCACCCTTAACCATTACTACTCAAAGATTCTCTTTCCTATTATGTCTCTGAATTTCAGGTTATACTACCTCAGATATATTAGCTTACATTTCCCCCATGCTGAATCACATTTTAGTATTCTCATTGTCTAGATCCCTTTGTCAGGAGAAGGGCTTTTAATTGTGCATTTTCCCAGCACCTCGCAAAACAGAGCCCTGATCTGGGCTGTTAGGTACTCCCATTAATATATGATAAAGGTCACAGAATTTCATGAGTTCAATCAGATCATCATCCACATTGGATCTTTCCAAGCATAATTTTTGAATTCTGGTCTGCTGGAGAGTAATACTATTGTCTTTAGATCAAATGTAGATGAATAAAGGCCAGTACAATGTCAAAAATATTGACTTCCAGTGCTGGAATTTTTAATAAAAATAAAACCTGAATTGAACTTTTGATGGAAAGAGCCAGTAAGAACATGGCTTGCTAGAATCAGATTTTACCAGATAATCTCTTTATCTCATAATGAGCTAGTGACGGACCAATTTTCATCTGTAATTATATACAACCAAAATGGCTTTAATATTATGTAAGCCTAAATCTGAGGACACAATTACAAGTGAAAAGCTTATTTAACTCAAAGAATTAAAAAAGGTATCTGACATTTTCAGCTCTACCATACCTAAGGTTAATGTGAAAAACTTCAAAGGCCAAATCTTCAAAAGTGACCTTTAATTTTGCTCCATTTTTTTTTCAATATTCAAAAGATAATGAATTAAAACTGCATTCAAAAGTAGAGGCACGGTGTGACCCCTTTGAAAACATGGCCCATGTTGGCTCCTTATACCTCTCAGACCACACTATGAGTAAAGATTTAGACAAGAATACTGCCAGAAGAAAGAAAGACTGATGCTAATCCCATTTGCTAGACACTGTCCAACCTGCCCACTTATGAAGCATAGGCCCCAAGTAAATAATAGTATATGATCATGTAATTAAAGATTATAATATAAATGTATATGCACAAGAATGCAGAGTTAAGACTGCACCCACAACCTTAAATTAAGCATTTCCTGACTTTTGAGTGCTTCAATTTGCTGCCTTAGCATTGTTTTTATGGCATAATATGTTTAAAAGAAACTACTACTCTGCATTTCTGCAGCTCATTCTAAGGATTACAAAGAACTTTATAAACAAGAATAAACTAAACAGCCCAAGACCCCTGTGTGCTGAGGAAGTACTTCCCCCCCCCCCCCCACTGTAATGAGGTGTTAAAAGGCTAAGGGACTTGCTTGTGGTCATACAGTAAGTCTATGACTGAGTAAAGTGTAGAACTTTGATTCCTATTTCTATGCTTCAACCATATAACTACTACTTCCCTTTTATGTATTACTAATGGTTACTTATGTTATAGTAGCAACCACCTGCCCTGATCAAAATTGGGCCCTATTGTGCTAGGCATTGTGTAAGCAGAAGGTAGCATGATCCCAGCCCCAGCCAGCAAGACCAGTCTTCATGTATACCTTGTCACACTTCTACAAAGATGCTTTTCAACTTTCTTATTAGCATGGGTTAGACTTGGACATTAGTAAATATCATTAGATTTGCAAGACAGCAAAGAGAAAAATCATCTATTTATTTATAAAATCCAACTGAGGGGCTTGGTTGCTTTCTTTTGCATATAGCACATTCTTGAAGTGAATAATTTTAAAGAAAAATTCAAGTACTATATTGTAGCTCTGGTCCAAAATTTAGATTTTGATCACGTGTACATACACACACACACACACACACACACACACACACGCGTATTTAAAAACCTAACAAGAGAAATGTTTTCATGAAATTACATTTTGAAAATATTTCAAGATTTATTTTTACAAAAGCCCTTCAGTACTTAAAAACAAAAACATGAAAAGAACCAGCTTAATTTCACAGTCTAAGCTAAATGAAGTGCAAGAAGCAAACAAGCAGTACATGTAGGGCTTCTGTTTGGGGGGTTTAATAATTTCATTTTTCTGGCTTTATTTTTTAGCATATTTTGAGTTTTATATAGATGTCCAAAAATTGGAGATTTTCATGGCTCTTTCTGCATATACTGTAATGAGTAATGTATATGATATACTTTACAGCATACTACTATAATGAATAATGTCTTTGTAATGGTCACTAGTGCACTTTAATGTGCAGAGAAACCTTTAGTGCCCAACAAGAGGGTTTATATGGACCAATTAATGCACAACACATTAGAGCACTTTAGAAATCACACCCCTCATAGTTCGCATTACTACTCTGTGCAGACAATCCCTCAGTTACAAGTAACCATTTCTGGTGTTTTTCTTGTGATTATTGGATACACACCTATTTAATTTTTTTCCCTTGGGATATTTTATCAATGTTTATTAGTTAAACCCAAAAAAATCAGAAGCCCTGAGTAAAAGAATTTCAAATGAACTTAATTGAAAACGAGTCTCCTGTTTTTGGTCACAAACATAATGCATAACTATTATGCAAGAATTAAGGTTTAGTTCAAATCAAATGTACAGTAACAGTAATACATTAATATAAAAATTATTTCAACAAATTCTTCGAAAATTATCAAAGTCAAGGACTGCATTATTTTATGGGCTCAATGTTCAGTGTGGCTTACCAGGAATAAGGGTTTAATAGAATCTATATTAATTTAACCAAATTTGAATACATGGAGGTCAGACAGCAAAATTTTTCTGGAACAATCATATTCCAAATTTTCATGAACCAGCAACCCAGACTGGGTACACATAATCCACAGGCCAGACTGTCCCTCCCAAGCAGTGCTTAATTTGTAATGAAAGAGGCAAGGGGACTCAAGCAATTTTTTACTTTCATAAGTGACATAGCAAGCCTAGAGGTGCTTGGGTTATGAACGGCCAAGCCCAGAGGTGCCAGGTCTCAGCCCTAGTACAAATTAACCACTGCCTCCAGGGTTAAAAGCTGTGAGAGGGCACTTTTTGCTTGTAAATCTCCATAAGAAATTCCTCCAAGATTTTCCCGCATGGTCATGTTCACTCAACCCTTTCCCCCTACGTGGAAAGCCCTTTGTAGGGCCCAAGAGGGCGGTGTCCGAGAGGCGTCCTCCATGTAGGGATCTAATTAGGGAGAATCTAGGTCTAAGATCTTAGTAGCAACTTTGGAACAACATATGCCTTAGGAATTTAATTATAACATATGCCTTTTTAGCTTGTGTAACAGGGAGATCTGTCCCCTTTAAGGAGTAGTGGGGATTGGAGCCATCCAACCTGTTTCATGACATTGCCTCTTTAAGGAATAGGTGTTTAAGGGAGCAGCAGACAAGCTTGGAGAATCCGAGCCAGATAGTAATCAGGGAGCTACCTCCTGAACAGGATAAAAACCCAGCCAGTAGCGGACTACAGGAGATAGAAGAGGTTCTGTGTAGCGGGGTTGGAACCCAAACACCAGTAGGCCCGGGAAGTCTGCTGGAGTCAGTACCCAGCCCTATGCAGAAGGGCTGAGGAATCCCTTAACCAGGGGTTCAGATTTAAGGCTCCAGGGACCAGGGTTGGGTGAGGCCTGTGGAAAAGACTGTCCAGAGAAGCCATGGTTTGCAGTGTGACTGACTGAGCTCCCTGCCTCACAGGTAACTGGAGGAGAAAACTGGGAACCTGAAGCCCTGGGAGGAGGATGAAATTGGAAACCTCAAGAGGGAAGGGTTTGGGCCTGATGGGCCAACGGAGACTGTGCTTCATAAAGACTCAGTAAATTGAACCCCTGGAAGGAGAATGTTACATTGAATACTCTGGGCAGTGAACAATTACTGGGAGAACTAGGAGGGAACTGAGGGTGAGGTGCCTACAGGGCCAGGCAGTGCCACAAGGGGGCATGCTCTGGGATTGGACCCTGTCACAGCTTGACAGTTTCATTTTGAGCAATGGTAGGGAAGAAATTGAATAAAGCAGACTTGGAAACAAATCACTTTCTTCCTCTGGGACATTTGCAAATTCTTTTGTTTCTCTTGATAAGTGTGCCCAGACCAGGATAAAAGACCTGCTGTACTCTGTTTGGCAGGGCTGTGGGACTATGGCAATATTAATTTGTTCTTCTCTTTCAGATATTTTGTTTCTTGATTCCAAATCGTATAGTTATTTCTTAAAAACTTTTACTGAAATCCAGGTTCCCACACCCAAATGGAAGGTAATTACTGGAATGTTATTTGTTCTACTCTAACTTTCTAGGTCTTCCTAGTTTTACTTCTTGTCTGGTTAGAGAGAAATAGGCTCTCACATCTTGTACTTTTGAATGTTATAGATACTCCTGCTCTTTTAAGTCAGAGAATCCAGTGCCATTTCAGTGGGTAGGGATGAGGGTGATAAATGTGGTTAATAAACCTTCCAGCAACATTTTAAATTTAATTCAGCAGAGTTTCATTGCTGCCTGCAGTACTGGTGGCGCTCTCTGGTTACACACATCTTTGTATCCTTAGTGCAGTATTTTTGTAATCTTTTTGGTGCTGCTTTCTCATTTCTGCCCAACTAACTTCTAGTGACATGCCCATTAATCTTGAAATGAGTTAGATGATTAAAGAAAGAAAAAAAGTTGAAATGGGATTTTAATCACAAAGAGGAGAGAATTTAATAATTTAGACACCTCCATCTTTCCAGGTTCTCAAAACCCATTTTTGTTCTGCTAAAGCACAACAGAAAAGGAATCTGAGAAAGTCCATCCTTACCAAACTTGTCAGATTTAGGGTCCAATCCTTCAATCTTCATTTATGTGACCTAGACACATTCAAGTCAATGGGACTACTCATGTGAACAAGGGTTGCAGGATAGGGTGTTACCTATTAGCTCTAAATACCCTTGACATCATTTAAAAATAAATCACAAGTGTCCTAATTCCAAAGATACGGGGAAAGCTCCTATTGGCTTCAGTGATTGGAAGATTTGGGCTCTTAGTGTTTGTAAAGTGCTGTGAGATCCCTAAATAAAATGCGCTATTCTACAGGAGTGTAAAACACTATAAAAAAGCAGAGTATGAAGTTATCCAAAGGTCTTACAATGACAAACCCTTACCTTGAACTTTTTTGAAAACCCTTGAATTCATGAACTTTAAAAACCTGTCTGCATAAAAACTTGGTCTGTGGACTGAAACAGTGTCCTAAAAAGACAGAAAAGGCCTTAAAGTTACACTCTTCATATACAATTCAAAATGAAATGCGCAAGGAGAAAAGCCTGACATATTTTGGGTAAGTTATATCATGCCCTGTTTGGGAATTCATGCAAGGAGATCTAGGATTTTGCCTTCTCAGAGGTTACTGTATAATTACTACACTCCTCTGCCACCCATTTTATTTCACTGTAATCTTGATAAAACACCGGTCTAATTATTTTAAGCATTCAAGATAATTTAGAAATACCCCTTTATAATTTATTCTATTCATATTTTACAAAGTCTTGCTCATATTTAAAAATGTGTCATTTCCCCTTTTGGGTAAAAATCTCAACAACTGAAGGCTCAATATTCAAACATGGGTGCCCTAAAATGACCAAATTCCTTATCTGAATGCTTTAATCAAGCACTGATGGGCACTTAAAATGGCAGTACGTCTAAGCACTCATTTAAGCACTGAATACCGTGGGGCCAAATTCTGCCCTGCATTACATCCTTTGCAACTGGACTGATGTTGATTCAGGGCACAATTTGAATAGTTAATTAACTTTGAATTAGCGTTTTGGATGAATTACTCCATCCCCGTTTTAGTTGTATTGTGAGGATAGTTTTGTGTAACCTGGTACAGTGTAGTTATAAGGATGATCTGGTCACCTTTGCACGTGTGTCTGTTTTTCTTTTCATCTTTTCTTTTAAAAAGTTAAACAATCAGCAAAATAAGATGGACATATAGGTCAGAAATCACATAACTAAAATCACTAAGGAAAACGTACAGAAAAAAAAAATCACATCTAATTGCCAAGATACCACAGTGATGGGTGGATTATAAACGTAGTAGCTCACTGTCTTAAACAAGAATCAGAACTCTATTATGAAAAATGCTGATAATTTAAAAAGCAACTTACCCCATCATAAACAAGTGCTTTCCAGGAATGTTCTAGCTTCTTCATTAACCTAAGCAATTAAATCAAAAAAACTTTGTGGAATTCCCTCATCTTGCAATCTCAGAATACTTTATTAAGATAATGGCTTTAAATATAGCAAAATATTTTCATTCTAAACTGCCACTTACCTGTAAGACTGTAGGATATCAATAATACCCATAAATAGAAGCAGCTTCTCTCCTTTATGGCTTTTAGCTGGAATGCCTCCCATTCTAATGGCAACAAAATAATTTTATTAGATATTGTATTTTACAGACTTTTTAATATCACTATTTAGAAGGTGAACTGCATTTACTAAAAAAAAACCACACAAACAAACAAACAAACAAACAAAAAAAACCACCAGCAACATTAAGGCTAGTTGTCGAATGCAAGCTGCCCAGGGCTTCTTGCCTCCTCACCAGGAGCAGGGGTGCGGGGTGAAGTGGAGGGGGGGAAGCCGCCGAGGGCCTCTTGCCCCTGGGGAGAGGAGTCCAGGTGCCCTTGCGTCTCACCTCCGCTCCCAAGCTATGAAAATCACAAGACGGCCAACATTCCCAGCCGGGAGTGGGGTCCAGCTGCCCCAGCTCTGGGGGCAACTGGGCTCTAGGTGCCTGGCTTTCTTGTCAATTTCATGGTGCACAACAGCCAACAGCCAGTGTAAGGAATTCAGTGTCTACACAAACACTGCATTGTCCTAACCATAGGTGCCAACTCCCTGGGTGCTCCAGGGTTGGAGCACCCACGGAAAAAAATTAGTGTGCTTAGCACCCACCAGCAGCCAGCTCACGCCTGCAGTGCCTGCCTCCCAACTGCCAACAGTTCTGCTGATCAACTCCTCCCACTCCCTCCAACCCGCTGCGATCAGGTGTTCTGTGGCATGCAGGAGGCGCTGGGGTGGGGTGGGAGGGGGAGGAGCAGGAATGGGGTGCGCTCGGGGGAGTAGGAGGAACTGGGCAGGAAGAGGCAGAGTGGGGTCTGGGGGAAGAGGTGGAGTGGGGGCTGGCCTGGGACTGAGCAGGGGTTGAGCACCCCCATGGAAAGGAAGAAGCCAGCACTGGTTCAGTATAACTTAGGACATCTTGTATGCAAATGAGAGTGTAATATTGAACACACTGGGCACAATTCAGCTCTGTCTCAACTTATATTCTAATACTTCAAACATTTAAAGCTGTATATAAATAATAATAATGCCCAGCTCTTATATAGCACTTTTTGTCAGCAGATCTCAATGTGCTTTACAAAGGAGGTCAGTATTATTATCCCCACTTTCATATGGGGAAATTGAGGCACTGGAAGGTAAAGTGACTTCTCCAAGGTTACCCAGCAGCCCAGTGGCAAAGCTGGGAACAGAACAGCATTATCCTTCCATTAATTTGTTGTACGTTTAAATGCAGACTTCATTAGCTTTAATGGTATTTACCTGCATAACTCCCTGGTTAACCGACAGTAAACCCTTTTCAATGTGAAATTAAGTCTCTATTATATCAAGGATTGATTACACAGAATAAGAATGCTGACTAACTCTCTTATTAGCACTGAACATGCATCAAGGATAGAATAATTTGAGGAGCCCTTGATTCTTGGAATAACCAATAGTTGAAATGTTTCATCCCCTTCTATAAATGTATCTGTCACAACCTTAAAATTCTCTGTATGTCACAGTCTGTTGTCAGACATTAAAGGGATAGAAGTATTGTCTTTTGGATGTGATAGAACCATGGTGATCAGCACCTCTGCTTTATTAAAAATTCCATGGCACTATTTGTAAGTGTAGGAGTCTTAACATCAGTGTCCTGGCTGAATTCCAGCCTGGATAATTACAATCTGCCTATCTAAAATTCCTCTGCAGTTTCAGTTAGATAGAAAGAGGAGAGTAGTATGTTCTAAACTGTAGTGTAGTGTTTCTGTAAGCTATTAAAATATCTGTCTTGTTCCACCTCAGCGGTGGCTGCATTTCAACAGTTGGTGAAGCAATTCCTGTGTATGTAGTGAGTGCATTTCCTTGGGATGACAGGCACTACAGAAATATCAATATAATCAATATCAATAATCGCTTTTGCTCACAGCGCATGACACTGTTTACAGTGAAACAGAGATTATGTGTGGAGATCTTATAATGACTTTCATTATATATAAGTGAGTTACTACGTGCCAATAAATTGTTCTGAATTATAACTGCAATGTCCATCATGTATTTAAAGATGACGAATAAACTAATCAAAGTTTTAATTTTCTGGTCTCCAGTGAACCTTGGTATGAAAGTTTTGAATGCTTTTTTAGAAAGTATTTAGTTTAATCCTTTAAATCACTCCTATGTAGTGCCTTCCAGGATGGGAAGATAGCCTGAGTTAGATTTAATACAACATAGAACAGTTTGCAGAAATAAAATTTTAGAAATTCCCAGTCAATTTTTAACAACAGATTTTGGGGACTTACGTATTTGTAGCTTCTGTGATGACAGATTCCCCAGACTTTCCAGGACCCTGTATGGATTCCATAGCTGTAGAATAGAGAACTTTCTGTCCCCCATGACGTTTGGCATCAGATGCATTCTGGGAACTCTCCCCATCCTTCTCTTTTGTGATACTGTCCAATACATGGATCCCCAGCAGCAGACTATAATCCATGATTTTAAAGCTTTCCAGCACCTATGAATGAAGGAGGACTGCATGTACTGTAACACACACAAATGACTACACATAATTTAATTTCTGCTGTGTAATTCAACCACTTGAGAAAATCCAAATAAAAGGAAAAAACCCATACAGGTATGTCTATATAATGGGTTTGACTAGGACAGTTTGCAAAAAGATTAACAAAAATAATATTTTTGTACTAGCCTCCCACCTTCTGTCGGAGATTCCCAAATCAACTTACAAATAAATGTTAATAAGCTAACCATCACAGCACCCTCATTAAAAGTGGGAAACCTAAAGTGCATAGAAATGTAAGACCATTTTCAGTTGGAGAGTTTGGCTCACCAGCAACTCCATTTCATTTATAGTGAGAAAGCAGTTAATTAGTTGTCTTCTACTCTGAAGCACTATGTACATCATTTTTATCCTATCTGATGTACTTATGGATAATCTGCTATACATATACAAACCCAATGTTGAAAAAAATCCTTGAAGGGCAGACTTTCAAAAAGGAAAAGGGGCAGTCAAGTTGCCCCACTACCATGAAAAGTCAATCGGATTTGGCACCTAACTCCCATTTGTGCCTTTGACAATCTCTCCGTAACAGGCCAAAACTGGCCAATATAAACTTTATACTTCAACTATGACCTGATTTTTAACCAGTCTCCTCCCCTGGTCCTACCAATCACTTTGACTCCCAGACCTTGACAGGTTCCACTTCCCCATTCTTGCAAGTACGTATAAGATTCTAATCTCAGTTGCACCAGTATGAATCCAGAGGAACTCCATTAAAAGGAAAAACCTCTCTCTGAGTCAATTAACTGTGCATAGGATCTCCTTCAGTCCCCCTTTTCGCATTTTAATACTATATCAGAATCATCAGCAGACAGGTATGAAAGCCCTGTTTGGCACAGGGATAGCAACCTATTTAACTTCCTGTAATCTCAAAGAGAAATATGGAGCAACATGTGTCCTTTTCTTCATGCAGCTCAAGAATGATTTAATACAGATTTTAATACAAGATGCCTTACTGTTAATGTTGTAATTTTTGGCCCTGAACTGCAAAATTTTATGTCATTTTACCAGGAACAAGAACAATTTGATTTTACAGAGACAACAAATGAAGCACAGTAACTCCAGGTGTGCCAATTCAGTCAGGCTTATCAGAGCCTGACTGAATTGGTGTTTTACACAAAACACTGACTTAAGTTATGAAACCCAGTGCAAATATTTGCATTTTTAAAATGAGATCTGAAAAGATTTCAACATAGCTGGGAGTTATGTAACAGGGAAGGGGAGATCCACCTCCTATGAATACATTTTATCTTACCAACCATTGACTGTAGACATGGATGTGGGGAAGCTGTTTTATTCAATATGCACATTTCATGCAAAAAGCACTCAACACTGTAATAACTAGAAGGTATATATATATATATATATATATATATATATACACACACACATACATACACACACACACATTATATATATACATACATACATACACACACACACACACACACACACATATACACACACACACTTGATATTAGCATCCGTTCTATCCCCATTTTGCAACTCTCTTGCATCTCATGTTACTTTATTGAATTAAATCACTTTTTGTAGTTGTCTTCTATGAGAAACATCAAGGCCTCCTTCTACCACTATTGTTAATGTGGGAAGGCTTGCACAAAAAGTCTTACATTGTACCCTAACTGCAGAAAGGTCAGGTCTCACTCTGATCTCTGGGGTAACTCATGTAAAATGACCGAGCAAGTGGTGTGAATATAAAAGGTAACTGAGCAAAGTCGAACACATACATCTTGCAGAATTCTTCTATAAAAAAGAGGAACAGGTTGGCTTCAAACAAAGTGCAAGAAAAGTGCCTCCACACACAAATGCATGAGATGAAGCTATCAGCACCCCAGCACATCCTCTGATCCTGCCAATATAGGCTTTTGGGCAGCAATAAAATAAAAAAATCTAGAATATCACATGACAAGATCAGGAAAACATTTCATTACACAGAATGTGGGACTGATGGGTCACTAAACACTTCCTGTTTTATGGCATTGGGAATCTTGAACTGCAAAAACAGCATAGTTAAGGAATACAAGATCCTGTATTGTATGAATACATTAGAATACTAGAGTTAGAGGAACTCACACAAGTAGTTTTCTTTGCCTCTGCCATAGTAAAAAAGTTTATTTTAAAAACATTTATTGAAGATTTATTTTCATAGGTTGCCTATTTTTATAAAAATAGATGGTACAAGACAACCTGTATGTGTTCCATTTAAAATGGAGAGAAAGCTGATGCCTAGCATATTGCAAAAAAATAAATAAAAGGTAAACTAACATTTGCCCTTCTGAAAATACTACTCTGGTATTGCAGCCAGTACGAGTATCTATGTAAATCATGATTTCATCAGCTAAATATGCTTGGGAAGATGGTGCCATTTTCACTTGTGCACTTCACTTAAAAAAAAAAAAAATCAGCTCACATTCTTTGCTTTACTGAAATCTGTTCTTGCCCCATTCTCTAACCCCTTGGGATTAGATACTTCATGGTTCCGCTGAATTAAAATCAAGTTAATATCTTATACAGTCTCTTGAAAGACTATGGTGTATATCCAGCTTGCCAGTGCAGAGGGATATATTGTTCAATACAGAAGAACTTTTCTAACTCTGACTGAAGTGATCAACCCCCATCTCCTTTTGCCCCTGCTCCTTGCGCTAAGCATTGACCAAGAGTTTCATTGCTGTCTGCATTTGTGTTCCTAGATCACTAAAGCTAACTATGTACTACTTCCCAGCTGCTCTAAATCTCTTGGAAACTGAAGTGAGCAAAGTGACATTTTTTCCTAGGCAGACCCTCAGCACATATTTCATTTTTACATGCAGCAACCTATGTGAACCCTACTGTAGCCGTTTGAATCCTATTCTTGCTCTGTGGACATTTAACTGCATAAACCAGCTGAACAGATCCTGAATAAACAGAAATAATACTCAAATATTTTCACGGTACATTAAAATAGTGACTGCCATATAAATTATCTAGGCTCCAACATATCTGTATGCCTGTTGGTATATGAAACGTGTACATTCTGATGACCTCTGTACCTATATATTTGCTAATCAAAGCAGGTAGCTAAGCCCTGATGCAAACTGATCTTAACCATGGTTCCATTTCCTTGTCAAAAGAAAAATGTTAATATGAAAAGACCATTAAACTAGCCAGAATGGGCAGGAAATTAAAAACTTCAGGGCCAATAAGTCATTGTCACCAATCCTGCAGTCCTTACCTCAAGCAGAACTCCCATTAACCTCAGTGTGATTTTTGCCTGACTATGAATTGAGTAAGGACTCCTAGATTTGGCCCACTGTTAAGACTTGAAGGGGAGGGGGAAAAAAACAATAAACTAAACTCTGCTTCATTTAGAAAACAACATTTTCATGCATTAATGTTAATGCAAATTAATAACTTTGGTTACACTCATAAAACTTACATGATCCAGTAAATCCTGGTATTTCTATACCTCTAATATCCCAAGAAGTGACAAAGGGCCCACTTCTACAACCTTTACTCATGTTGAATGAGGTCCTAATGTAAGGAGAGAGAAACCTCTCAAAGCAGAGATCATGATACTACCTCTACAAAAACAGTAAAGCATTGACAAAAGCCTCATGCTTGGTCACGAGGGATCTAGAGATGCAAATGATGTCCCCACTTCCCTAAGAGCACGTTCCCTCTAGGGTTATAAATGGAGAGAGAAATTCTGTCATTTTCAGTTTCAGTCTTTCTGGATTTAAGGGCTCAAATGTATAGCACCAACATAACAAATCTTGCATTTTGCAAGAACTTCTGGATTTACTGACATTTAGACAAACAAGGTTTGCCGAAGTGCTATATTATATTGTAGCAAATTAGTATGAGTTTCAGTGAACAGAAATTACAACAGTCATCTAGTCTGCTCATTAGTAAACAGGTCATCAGGGCACAATCCCAACTAATGAGTAGGTATGTCATCCCCTTCCCTCTAACCTGGGATGCCCTTTACAAGGCTTTGCTGCTGTAGCCTCCAGTCTGGAGTGCTCACAAACAGCCTCCAACATGTGTGTGTCCATGTGTGTGTCCGTGTTGCAGCCAGCCATACCTGGGCCCTTACCAACCTTGGTTATATTGCAGGTGTCCCAACACATCCCCAGTCCTAGATTTCCCTCAGAAATGCATGTCCTGTATTGCTCAGCCCTCTCCTGGACAATTACAAGCCTATATAAAAAGTCTGTCATTTCATTAATAAAAATGACATCCACACATCTTGTTACCCCAAATGGCGTTTCCCAGACATGATGATTTAAACTCATTGGATCAGATAAGACAATAAAACAAGTTTATTTACTATATAGAGATAGATTTGAAGTGAGTACAAATGATGAGACATAAAAGTCAGAAACAAGTACAAAAAAAAGTTAAAATACTACAGGTGCCTAACAAACTATATCAAATCCAAGCAAAGTTTCTCTCACCACATGCTCTCAGCAGTCTTACTGACCAAACTTCGTAGCCCCAATTCAATGGCTGCTTCCTTTGTTCCATCCGAAGAAGTGGGCTATAGTCCACGAAAGCTTATGCTCTAATAAATTTGTTAGTCTCTAAGGTGCCACAAGTCCTCCTGTTCTTCTTTTTGTTCCTTCTGGTACAGTAAATTGATGGAGAGAGGGAGGGAGTCTGATAATTTTTATAGCTCTGTCCCTCCTTTGGGGAGCATTTCTAGCTGGGATCAAGGCAACATGCAGTCTGTATGGAAGGGAACTCCATACTATTTCTTTGCCAAAATGCAGATATTTTCGCCCTGTCCCTTCCCCCCCCCTCAAAAATGGCCATTGAGAAGATAATGGCCCATCAGCCTCGTTTACACCTGGCTGAGGCGTCAGCTTGCCCTTTGTCTCTGAAGAACTGGTTTGGCCTGCTTTTAGTCATGAGTTCAGCGTGTGTTTATAACTTGA